AAAAATTCATGAATTATTACATAATATCTATCAATATGGACTATGTAAATATATTTACAAATTTTCAAATTAAGTAAATATATTGATAGTAATTTACAAAAATGTAAAAATGTAGTTCTTCTGTAAATACTATAACTAGTTAGAAAATATGATACAAAGATATAGGCATAATAACAGCAAATATTTAACATATAAGGAGTAATTTTAATAATAATCTAGAAACTAGAAATCCACATCTATTTGACTATAAAACTTCATTGATGGCCCTAAAAATACAATGTGGATGAATCACTTTAGATATTTTTGATACAGAAGAACATTACATACACTGATTTCATCTAATAAAATATTTTCTGACATACTGGGTTTCCCTCTAATAAGTTAAGGTTTTCAACCATATTTCTTTCTCTCCATATTCACTAATAGAATTCAGTGCTTATTTTGAGAAGGGATATCAAAGATAAAGAGAAAAATGTTGCTTTTCCCCTTATCATTATAAAAAAGCAAACAAAATTCAATGTTATAAACTAATTCCTGGTATTTACTCTTCTATCCTCTGTCCTACACTGATATTTCTATTTCTTGTTTAATTAAGAAGTCTTTTAAGATACCTGGATTGTACAAAATGTTATTATGTCCTGCCATATATAATTTGCAATCCCTGAATCTAAAAAATGAGATATGTATACAAAATATACCAAGAAAATCAATATTCCTACTGAAAAGAATTTGTGTTAAAAGGCTTAAAAATGCAATACTTAACACTTACTGCATCACTACCTTCACTTAGAGTTTCTGAGTTTGACTCACTCTCAACCTCATCTTGTTCCAAGGAGGAAATACTGATTTTATCCAATTCAGCTTCTATCTCTTCTTTGAGTTTTGCATCATCATTATCACTGTCTTCCATCACTCTTTATATTAAAAAAAAACAGAAAATAAAAATAAAGAGGCTATTATGTCTCTAAAAATTGTGTGTTCTTTAATTTTGCATATCAGTCCAACATGTTTCATTCAAACCTATTTTAACAAACTTTTATCATACCTTATTATCATTGTACTATATGTTAAAGAATATTGTTTTACCTCTTCATTAACTTATCTTTTCAAAAACATATTTCACTATAAAATGTTCAAATCTAATATTAATTTTATATTTCTTTAAGAGAAAAAAATATATAGAAAATGAACTGGCTTACCTTCCAAAATCAAGAGATTTCAAAGTAAAATTCCACATGGGCCCAATTAATAAAAACAACATTGAATATCTTGAATATTTAGAGATTAAAATACTTAGAAAATAATAATCTAAGTATGGGCAAAGCATATGGCTTTTTGTAGTCATTGAGAATACTGGTAATTCTGTCATAGATATAGACAGCCACAGCTTTTGCTAACATGACACATAATGACAGATAATACATGACAATCTAAATATTATACATATAACCTAAACTTTATAAACTATAAAATAGCCTAATGTTTATTTTATTTAAATTGTTAATGCTTGTTAATGGATATAGGCACAGCAATGTATTATAGCATATCGTCACATCATCATTATCAAGTTCACTACCACCATCATTAGTTTCCATATATAGAGTATCTGTAATAAGCCAGGTAATAGAAGATACTTAAGTAAATTACGAACATTAAAAAAATGTAACAGGATAAAGATGATTGTAGTTCTTGTATATATGACAAAACCAAGGTTTGAAGATATTACTTAACTGTCCAAAATCATTATGCTAGTAAATAACAGGGCAGAATGTTAACTCAGATATACTAATTTTAAAGTCAGTGCTCTTTCTACTACTAAATGGTATCAACTCAGCTGAATTCTTTATCTATCTGACAATCCTTCTGTATGCCATCACCTAGTCCAATCATGTCCAAATTAATGGTTAGGACCCATTAATTAATCAAGAAATTAATTAAGAAATTATTCACTCTTAATCACTAAGTTTTAGTGACAGGATGAGAAAGAAAAGGAAGTGCTAGGATAGGGTAGAAAACAAAATATAATGATTCTATATATTAAGATAAAATTGTTTAAAATTTTTCAGTTATGAATACACACATATATATTCACATATGCATGAGTTAAATGAAATATATTTTATTAGTACTTTTTTATTTACTGTAGATCTTAGTCACATAGCCACATCAATGTTTATAGCAGTTCACAATAGCCCTTCAAAAGATGAATGGATAAAGAAAATGTGATGTATATATACATATATACACACTGGAATATTACTCAGCCTTAAAGAAGAATGAAATTATGGCATTTGCAGGTAAAGGATGGAGCTGGACTGTATCATGCAAAGAGAAATAAGCCTATCCGAAAAAACAAAGGCCGAAAGTTTTCTATGATGTGCAGATGATAATTCACAATAAGGCAGGGACTAGGCAAGAATAGAGGTACTTTGGATTATGCCGAGGGGAGTAGGAGAGGGGAGGGGATATGGGGCTAGGAAAAACAGTAGAATGAGTTGGACATTATTACCCTGCGTGCATATATGACAACACTACCAGTATAATTCCACATCATTTACAACCAGAGAAATGAGAAGTTATATTCTATCTATGTATGATATTTCAGAATGCATTCTATTGTCAGGTATAAGTAATTAGAACAAATAGAAAAACTTTTTTAAAGTTTGAAATATATCAATCAGCTCTTATTTTATTTTTAAATACACTCTTCCAAACTTTCATTGTTTCCTGAAGGTACTGGCCTTTCTACCTGTGTTCTTGTTCTTTTCTTCCTTCCTTATCCTTTTCCCCATTCCTTCCTTAATTCATTCCCTTACTCATTCAATTCAAAACTAACTTTTTGAGAATGTGCAACATGCATTCATAGCAGTGCTGGGTGCTACAAATACATTGATTAAGTACAGTCTGGTTAATGATGAAGATTAAATACCCTCACTTCACTATTTCTTTTCATGAATCCCCTTCTTATCCATCCTTCAGGAATAGGAGCTCCTCTCCCTAATAAACTGTCATACTTTACCTGTAGGCTGATTCTAAAAACTTCTTACTTATTGAACATTGTTTTGTGCATTATTTCTGTGTTTACTACTTTATCATACATTTTTTATTCCTTTGTTCCTCCTCTCCATAAAAACATGACCAAGGCACTCCCACACTTAAAAAAAAACACTGGGACTCTCCACTAATGATAGATATCACTTATCTTTCTTTCACAAATAAGTGATTTAATCAGACTGATTCCATGTGTGTTGACTGAAATCCTAAGAATTTATCCTAGAAAAATGAAAACTTAGATTTACACCAAAATTTTTACATAAATGTGCACAGTAGCTTTATCCATACTAGCCCTCAAATGAAAAAACACCAATGTCCTTCAACAGGTGAGTGATTAAATAAACTCCAGTAAATTCATACCATTCAACACTACTCAGCAATCAAAGGAATGGACTATTGACACATACAACAATACAGGTAAATCTCCTTGCAACTATGTTGATTAAAAAGTAAAAAACATGATTTCATTTATATAACATTTTGAAATCAGAAAAATTAATAAATGAGGACAGCTTAGTGGTTAAGGTGTTAGAGGGAGCATGAGTTATAAAACACCATCATGAGGGATTTTGTAGTGCTAGAACTATTCTGTGTTGGTGGCTGAAGATAAATGAACTTATTCAGCTGATTAAAATTGCATAGAACATAGTACACATAAAATAAAGGAAAACTGAACAAAATTAGTAGATTTTATCAATGTCAACATTCTGGTTATATTACTGTATAATTAACAAAATATTACCATTGGGAGAATTTGCAAAGAGTACAAGAACATTTTTGTACTCACTTGTAAAGCTAATAAATTTTTAATTAAAGCTATACTAAGTATGCACAAAGTTACATAAGTTATGGCTCCATAGAACATGGTGCAAATTATTTAAAATGGTACAACTGCTATTATTCTTGTAAGAAAGTATTCAAAAGGACTAACTAAAAAAGGCAAATGGCAGGAAAATAGGACAACAGAAAATCTCTTTTTTGGTAACTACACACACATATACACACACACACACACACAAACACACACACAGAGTTTTTAGACACAAAAAGTTCTTGAAGAAATTGGGGAATTTTAACAGTTTGTCATACCTTCATGTTGACTGGTTTTTTTAAAAAAAAACACGAATATACACTATTTTCATAATTTTAAAAGCTCATTTAAACCATTCAATTTCCCACAATCTTCTCCCTTCAAAACAAAGCAAAACAACCAACAGAACAATACTAATAATTTAATTCCAAGTCATTCAATAGCTTTCTTAGGTGAAAAATTTTTTAGACTTTGTTAATGTGCTTATAAAATAGAATGCACAGGTACATGAAACTTTATATAGAAAGAAGGGCAGGCAAATAGGGTGAAGGTAAGAATAATTTCCTTTATATTTCCACTTCTATTTATCTCTGGTTCCTAACACAAGCCCCATTCAATGTTTCTATATCTGAGCACAAATGGAAATTTACATTTTACACAGCAACTGTTTAAAAAGAGAAGCAGATTAATTTTAACATATCCTATTTAACAAATATTCAAATATCATTTCTGCTTATAATGAATAGGCCAGCACCATGGTCTACTCCTGTAATCCGAGCGGCTGGGGAAGTTGAAGTAGGAGAATCCAAAGTTCAAAGCCTACAAAAGCGAGGTGCTAAGCAACTCAGTGACAACCTGTTTCTAAATAAAATATAAAATAGGGTTGGGGATGTAGCCCAGAGGTCGAGTGCCCCAGAGTTCAATCCCCGGTACCCCAAACAAACATATAATGAATATAAAGTATTATTATCACTATTGTTTGATTTATTTATTTGTTTATTTGGTACTGGGCTGGAACCCAGGGCCATGAACACGCTAGGCACTCACTCTATCACTAAGCTAAATTCTCGTCCCTAAAAGTTATGAGTTATTAAGATAAAAATTAAAATTTGCATTGTGGTTCTGCACACGAATTCTTTGAAGTCCGGTGGGTATTTTACACCGACAACACTTGTCAACAGACACCTGTAGCTAGTGGTTTCCTTCCCGGACAAGACTGGCTGCTCTAGATGAATCCCCGTAGTAAACTGGCTATGGCAAAAAAAATTTCAAATTGATAAGGAAACACTTGAAGGTGGCACGAAACTGCCCAAAGTGACAGGGCTTAAGTAACTCCCCCTTTGGTCTCTACAGAAAAGGAAGGGAAACTCTACTTCACGAAGTAACAAAAATCATTTGTGTGTGGAATCATGAAAGCAAGAGAAAGAGAGGGAGGGAAGGAGAGAGGAAAAGAAAAGAAGTGGCACTTGGTGTATTTTAGGATGTGGGGGAGAGGCTCCGTAGGCGGCCAAGTTGGATCTTAAAGTTCTAAGGGAGTTTCCAGAACTGAAAGGAGCCTCGAGGTGAGCGGACTCGCGCACGGTTTCTCTCTGGGCGCGCGGTTTCTCCCTTTCCCGGAAGCCTGGCCCTGGCGGACAGGGGTCCACCTGGCTCTGCGCTTCCGCCGCTCGACCTCGACTCCCCCAACCCAAATCCCTGCGTTGAAAGGTCTGGCTCACTCACCAGCAGCAAAATTCCCTGGTTTGCTCATAGGACAGCGCCCCGATCCTCTAAACAAATGGTAACCACGGCAACAGCCAATCCCAAGAAAGATGGAGCAGCTTTTCATTACAGGTGCCCCCAAAGGACAAATAACCTCGATTCTAAGTTGGACCGAGCGCTGCACTTCAGTAGCAGGACCCAGGAGTCTAATTTCTCTTTCCAGGTACATTTTAATGTTCAAATAATTTGGGAAAATACTTAATGAAAAAAATGACAATTTTCTATAATTATTCAAGTAAAAGTAATCTGACTTTTTAATTGTTTCTGAACTGTCTATACCTGTGTATAAATTGTTCATTCCACAAAATCTTAATCCTGAATAGTGATTTGTGGCACCTGGCCTTATGAAGGAGAAGTCAATAAATTGTTTGCTTTCCATGACAACAGATGTTTGTTGTTGATGATGATATTTTGTTTGGTTTGTTTTGTTTGGGGGTAGGGGTTAAAATCAATCAAAGCCCATCAAACACTTCTATTGGACAGGTGTGTTGAGGGAGAAATTTGAAAAGTTATTTTCCAGAATTCTTTTACTGTAAAGATATTAACAGAAACCCATTAGTTAATTATAAAATCTGAAGCTCTAAGGATATGCCATACATTTAATTTTATCTTAAAAATACATCATTTTCTTTTGTGGAGCAAGTTATAATAGTTTATAAAATTTGAAATTGTATTTTAATTAATTTCTGATTTTACTTTTTTAAAGTTTGTAAACAAGATATTAAATTCCAAGAGGAAGTGGCTAAACATACTTGTAAAGTATATCTGACATATAATACATTGAAAGCAAACATTTCCTTGAGCCTCTGAAAGAAAATAAATTATACTTCCTGGTAACGATAAACTTTGAGTTCCACCAACATAACTCTAATAAAACAGAGGGAGACATTAGTAAACAATTTTATATTCAAAACACACATTAGTACCTCTTTGAAGAATAATAATAATTTTAAAAATACCTGGCTTAGGATCTTATTAAATTTAAGGTATTTTCATTATCAAAATCAATGCCCAAGGGGTTGGGGTTGTGGCTCAGTGTTAGAGTGCTTGCCATAGCATGCTTGAGGCACTGGATTCAATCCTTAGTACCACATAAATGTAAAATAAAGATATTGAGTCCACCTAAAGCTTAAAAAAAATGAATGCCCAAATGCCATTTTTTTAATTTCTTAGTTTACTTTTATTGCTGATTTAAAGACTACTCAAAATTTTCATTCATAATACTTAGGCTGTCATATCATATTGAGGTTCACATGTAAAAATCTTGACATTGATTTTGTAATTATAAAATAACTCAGATTTTTTCTAAAAATTACCAAATTCTCCAATAATCATTCTAAAGATTAATTTAAATAATTTGCCTTAGGAATCAACTGATTTTGAAAAATGTTTAAGTTAACCTTGTCAAACAAATTGATAATAAAAATATAGAAAGTTCTTCTGAAGATAAATTAATCCACTGTAAGGTATATTTATAATCTCATGTTTTTCTTATTTCTACTTTGGAAGAAAACTAAGTTCTATAACTTAGTCATAATTAAAATATTTCTAGTCAAAAAGAAACAAAACTGCAGTTACCTAAGAGTGACAGACTATAAGCAAATTTAACTTGAAAAACTGTCGCTTTTCAACTGCGTAGTGTTTGGTAGAAGTACATTACAATTTTCCTAGAAATTATAGTCTTAAATTACCCAAGACCTATTACCCTGAGCAAAGTTTTTCTTTTTCTTTTTCTTTTTTTGAATAAGTAATTTTATATTATTTCAGTTTTGAAACTCATTCCCAGATCTGGTTGATGGTCAGCCTGCAGGTCTAACACATATTTCCTTTAGATTTCACATGATATAATTTATTGAGAGAATGAAAGCGTGAGGAAAACCTGTTTGTTCCTGTTATCTGATAAGAATGATCTTTTTTGAAAATGTTAACTGAATAGTGGACCCATCTTAGTTTAATAGCATTTTTCAACATCTCTTTTTTCTTGATATTGCAATGATATGATTTAAATATCCCAGAATATCACTGTACTGCTCAAAATAGCTACAAAGTTAGTATTTCTCTTGATTTGTTTTCTTGAGACAGGGTGGTTACTTAGTAATAATACTTCTAACATGTATAACATAATATTGGATTCTTAAGTGTCCACTTCTCTTGTTCCACTGAAAGACAATCCCAGCTCTTCAGTGTGGGTCCTTCACTGGTCTTCATTGTGCTCCCTCCTTGCAGCTGACATGACTTGCTACTTCACAGGAAATGGGAGTCCATAACTTTCCTATGTTATCCATCCCATTTTCCACCCTCATGTACAACTCCCTTCTCTAATCTTAGTTTGGCTATAGGATATGGTAAATAAGATTCATTTAATCGTTCATTGGACAAAGTACTTCGCAAACAATCTCATTTAATTTTCACAACATCCCTGTGAGGTGATTACTATTTTAATCTGCTTTTGAAGATGATGAAACTGGGACTTTGAAAGGTTATCAAAGACAGTAGTTTATACCTTTGGGTTTGCATCTCATCTGTGCCACTTATTAACTGGACAACCTTAGACAAGTTTATTTTCCTGTGTCTCTTTCATAATTGGCAAAAGAAGGGATAATAGCATAATTATGCCTAGTTTGTAAAATTGTGATAAGGGAAATCAATAAAAATGACACATTGTAGGATATGAAATAATTTAGGTTCTACAGACTTGAATCCAATTTCCATCTTTGATACTTTCTACCATCCCAACACTATCATTTATACTTCCTACTAAACATCTCATGTCCTGGTATTGTTTTACAACCCCATAGCAGTTTTTAGTTCAAACAATTTTATCTCTTATGAAATAGTTCATTGGCTTTGTAAATTATCTCCCTGTGTTGGGTTTCTTTTCTAATTTGGCTTCCTATTGGTGCCAGAATTATGGTTTTAGTTGCCTTCAAAAATAAGAAAAAGCAAACTTGCAAAACATGAATACTTTGTCACAGTGTTTACTTATTCTACTTCTCTAGCCTTATCTTTCATCCTTGCCACTCTGACCCATGCCCCTTATACCTCACTGTAAAACTGTGAAGCATAGTGTTTTGTTTAATACTTCCTACCTCTGCCCTGTTTTTGACTGACTAGAACTTTATTGATCATCTTTCAAAGATCATCTCTTATTGGTCTTCTCTATGAAACTTTTTTGTTCCCTTTATTCTCTCTCCCCTATGCCAACACATAATTCAGATTTGTTCACAGTTTTAATATTTAATTCCTTGAAGAGCTCTAACTTATTCACTTCTTAGACCCCAACTCTGGGTACTTAGAAGGGGATAGAAACAATGATAAGCAAGTAGAGCCATTTAACAAGTGAAAAGGAACATTTATGAATACATAAGTTATCCTAAGTTGTCTATCCCACAGGTATTTATAATGTTAAAAAGTGTCTTTGCCAATGGAACTTTAATTAACTAGTGAGGGACTGAGCAAAAGAAATACCACAACCAAACTTTACTTGATTAAGTTTAGAACAAACACTTTATAGCAAAAGCAAATGTAGATCTTCTGCATTACAAATATTTGAATAAGAACTGCATAGACTTGCGTATCTTTATTTGCATTGTTTCCAGTATGTAGAACTTACTTATGACCATCTCTTACCATCCTGTAAACATCACCATGGACTTTCTTGGCTCATTGCTTAGGTGCCCAGTTTGTTATGCTCTGACTCTTTGACCTGAACTGCTATTTTGTGATAGTCTTGAACATCCTCCTTACCAAGGTGGCTGACTGAGAGTACTCCGTTCTCATCCTTTTTTCACTTCTGTATCATATTACAGCATTCTATAAATTTCCTCCTTTATTGACTTCCATGAGATCATGCTTTATGTTTTTAGTTTGTAAAAGTATGATATTAAAAATTTCAAATTCTTAATTGTACTATTCTTTATCACCAATTCTGTGACCATTTCTAAATTCATTATTTTGGCTCTGTGGTTGATTCCTGAGCCTGCATAACTTATCTACCCACATATTTGCATTTCATTTCCTGTACTTATAAGGTTATAGCCAGGCAGATATCCTCTATCACTTCAGACTCAACTGTTAAATATCAAGTTCATGAAGTTTCTTCTAAACTATTTATTTTCCTATTTCCAATGATTATTATTACTCCTTTATTTCCCCTTCCTACAGGAATTCCCTGATAATATTTGCTTATTTTCCACAGTGAAGCATACAAAAACTGAATTCAATTTCTCTTTTTATCCTCGATCTTTTATAATTGCCCTTTCCTAACTGATGGTTTTGTTTTGTTTGGTTGGTTGGTTGGTTTGGTTTGAGTTTTTTTCCGTCTTCATTCACTCTGATTCACTTTTTCCCCTTTATCCCAGTGTTTGTCAGTTTTTCATTACTGTGGTCAGAATACCTGACCAGAACAACTTAGAAAAAGCAAAGTTTATTTCAGTTCACAGTTTGAGAGGATTCAATTTGTATTCACCCTGCTAGCTCCATTCCTTTGGGCCCAAGGTAACACGGAACATCATGGCAGGAGGGCAACAAAGAGAGAAAGAGAATGTGTGGAAGGAGGCACCAGGGATAAGATATAAACCACAAAAGCATACCTCCAGTGACCAACTTCTTCCAGCCATACCTTACCTGTCTATAATCACTACCTCATAGTCCCTTCAAATTATTAATTCAGCAAATGGATTAATCCACAAATGAGGTCCAAGCCCTAAGCACTGCCTAAAAGTCTTACCTCTAAACCCAACTACATGGGGGATCACACTTTCAAATCTTGAGCTTTTGTGGGGGCACATTCCAGATCCACATCATAACATGCAGGTTCATGGTTGTACCAGCAGCACTTTGTACATAGTGATTTGACCAAGTCTCTACAAAGGGAAAATGAGAAGGGTGGGCTTCAACTTTTTCTCAGTTGCTTTTCTCAATGCTTCCTTAATTTATGCACACTATTTTTCTTTCTGCTGATATAAAAGATGATACCCTAAAGCAAATTGGGGAACCACATCAATATGTTGGTTCACGTACCCAAAAATTTCTAAGACAAAGAAGAAAATTATTCATCCACCTTGGACTGAGAATAAACTTCAGTGTATTTCTATATTAGAGTGTTTTGGTCATGTATTTCTGCTTGACCCTACATAACAGGTTGATTATTACCACATCAAAACTCAAGTCCATCCCTTTGACATTTCACAGCAGGGTTACTGCAAGGTTTTCTGGTTTACTAGTTGTCTTTTTCTTTCTCATTTGCAGATGGGCGAAGGCCAGGCAAGTTCCTGTTCATACTGGGGGAGAGGATCACAATTCTCCCACATACAGCAGTGAATAGAATTGAAGCCAGAAATAAAGATCTGCAGCATCCTGGGAGACAGCAAAATAAAAATCAGGCAGTCTTTCCAAGTGTGTGCCCTGTCAAAATATGCCAGGCATTGAAGAAATCCAAGAATAAGACTTTAGGACAGAAATTGAAGAAACCAAATGACAGCGGCCAAGTTCAAAGCAGAGGTTGAAGACAAAGTCTGGTGGTACTTTGCGAGTTTTTAGGACGCATTTGGCTTCAGGGCAAAGTAGGGAGGAAAGTAGGTACAATCTAACATGGGCATAATTATTTTTCCACATTCCAGTACATCCTGCCACTTGCCAGAGAGATTGGTTCCTTCCTAATCAGGCACAAATAGTTTAAAATTAGAGTATTAAATCTTCACCCATCATGTCAGTTTAGCTACTAGATATATTAAAACATTGTCAACTATAATATTTTTAAAAATATGGTGCTAGTGAGCATGGAAACAATGAAGGAAAAGAGAAAAGCCAGAAACATATCTAGATTTTAAAACCTCCATGTCTAATAAACAAATCATCAAAATTCAGTGGGGTGAGTGTTGATTTTCCACAAAGAATTTAGGAAAATTGACTATCTGAAAACTAATTATTTAATGTAAACAACCGTAAGTAATTCTTTAAAACAAACTCACTGCTGTTTTGATTTAACAAAAATGTTGAGTACTACTATACGTTAGACTTGGGCATTATAACTGCATCACGACCTGTTTTTCAACTTAAATATCTCTAATTCTAGATGGGAAAAAAGGTGAATGATAAAACAGAGAGAGACAAACTGGAGTTAAAGAAAGACCTCTAAGCTGAGATTTCCATGAAGAGTTTACATTATTCTGGAAAAAGGAGGGCCAAGTAGATGTGAGGGAAATCTTAGACTAAGGATAAGAAAAGCTTCTAGCAAGGGGAGCAAGGTGTATGAAGATTAAAAACAAAATAAAATATCTGAAAGTTGCAAGGTCAGTAAAGCACTGTTGACATTCTTCACAGCCTCTGCTCCAAAGCAATGCAGATACAGAAAGATGGGTACAGTCTCAAGGGACCTTCAGTACATGCTTATATTGGAACACAGGAATGTTATACTGAAAACTGGTTTAAGAAGAAAAATATGCAAATGTCATCAGTAGGCAGAATTATAAAGTTTTATTGTGGTTGAATGTTTATAGTAAACTCGTGATTATCTTTTCAGATTCACCAATTTCCAGAGAAAAGCAGAATGTTAAAGAAACACAAAATATTAATTTTTAAGTACTTTCTTAATCTCATTAATTCAGCTTTTTTGGTAAGAATTTTCATATTTTTAATGAAGAAAATATAATGCATTCATCTAGACAATTACTGAAAATATTGACTTCTTACAGATTCTTGGACTTTTATTCGTGGGATTTGGTGCATGCCTTTTATTAGATAGAAATACTTTTTTAACAGCTTTGGGTATGTATATTTTTCTTTTTCTCTTAATGAAATAAACAAGGCATTTCACTTAAAACAATTATGATGATCTATTCAGCAGGTGGCAGTATTTCTCTAACATCCATTAAGTATGGCCCACCATTCCTTCTAAAGGTCTTGCCGGATGACTTCATAAGTGCCTTATTAAAAAAAAGGTTTTAAATCCAGTATAAAGGAAGGGCAATTTGAGGAGGTGGGGGAACCAGGAGCTGTTACTAGACAAGGGAGAGGAGGGAAAGGAAAACTGAGTTTTCTGTCAACTCTAGAATTTACAGATCTGTAGACTTGAAAAATCAACATAGTCAAATAATTTCTTTTAAAATTTAATTATGAACTATTTTTACCATCACACAAATAAAATATAATATTCTCCAAATTTGAAATCATGGATGAAATAGATGAGCCTCTTTCTTTATGAAAAAAAGTGAGATCTTTACATTGCCTTTTTTTTTGCCATTTTGTGATTTATAGTGGTCACTGTAGACTGGAGTATAGGAATAAAAAGGCTGTGGGTTATTTTAATATAAACATCTTCTGTTCAAGGGAAGAAATACACATTTCAAGTATTCAGTAGGCATTTATGGCTATTGGCCATCTTGTTGGACTGCACAGATAAAGAACATATCCACTCTCACAGTACCCTCTGTTGAGCAGCACTATTCATCATTAAATGAAAGGCCAAACATTCAGTATAGAGTTGACTTATTTCTTAGTGGATATCAAATAAGAAAAAAATGTAGGGAAGGAAATGCTAAATAGAAAACTTTAATATGTTATAAAGTCCTACAAAATTGAATAATCTAGCTAGCCTTAAACTATATTAAATGTCTGATATCTTTATTCTCTTATTTTTATTTACTTTGCTTCTGGACAAGGCTAGTGATGTCTGAATACAATAGCACCTTTCCCAGAGTCATGGGGCTGTGAAGATCTTAACAACAAACTTCCATCCTTTCCATCCACACAATAATTATAATAATAGCTTCCACTTAATTAGGGTTCAGTGTGTGCCAAGCAATGGACTAAGGACCCACACAATACCTATTTTTTCTTTTTTTTTAGAGAGAGTGAGAGAGGAGAGTGAGAGAGAGAATTTTTTTTAATATTTATTTATTTATTTTTAGTTCTTGGCGGACACAACATCTTTGTTGGTATGTGGTGCTGAGGATCAAACCCGGGCCGCACGCATGCCAGGCGAGCGCGCTACCGCTTGAGCCACATCCCCAGCCCACAATACCTAATTTAATAATGTAGCAATTAAGGTGGAGCAAAAAGATTTTTTTCTTTTTCTTCATTGTGGAGTTGACAGATAATTCTTGTTAATCTTGGTGTATTGGGTTGTAAAAAGCTCCTGAAAAGGTAAAAATAAGTAAGGAACTTGTTCTTTTAAGTTCTATTTTTAAAATTGTGTACTCAGATCAGTTAGTGAAATGTTGATTAAGGTTTTAGGATCTGAAATTAAATACATCCAAATTAAGATCCCAAATATTGAGTCTTCCTTTATTACATATCTGCCATTTTCACTTGATTTTCCTCTTTTTAAAACACCTTTGTGCTCACCTTCCCTTCATGGTAAGCCCATTCAAAGTAAGTTCCCATTTATCTCCTGACACTGTAATAACTTCCAAGAGTCTTTTGCTCTTATCATTTCTCTCAGCTATCTTCCAAATATCACTAACATAATTCACTCAAATGCAAATTTGACCATGTAGCTTCCCTATTGAAAGCTGTTCTCTGGGTCCTCATTGCCATTATTTATTCATGTGCCAAAATTTAAGTATCTTCTACATGTCAGACACTGCCCCATATGTGGAAGATACAATCATGAACAAAAAAGATCCAGTTCCTGTCCCTGTTGAACTTCATTCAAGTGAGAAAAATTGGAAAATAGTACACAAAGTACCCACAATTTCAGCAATGCTTCTACCACTCCAGCCTGGGTGTTTTCAATTATTATTTAAAGACTATGTATGCTCAGGTATTACTTTTCCCAGTAATCTTAAACCAAACCCTTTAACCTCCTTTGCTCACTGGATGATGTGTCCCTGGTATCCAGTACAATGCTGGTGAATGTTTAGCAACTAGCTCTTGAGTAGAGAATCTTGATTCATGGCATCTGTTCATTCCCATAGTTTAAATACTCCCCCACCCCAATGTGAATTCAGTTGGCTTGTACATTTCCTGAAAACTTAACAATTGACTTTTATGAGCCAACACAAACTGTTCCAGGATACCCCTGCCTCCATTGTTCTTCCAGAAAAATGTAAAACATATGTAACTCATGTATTTGTCTTCTAAGAAAAACAAATATTTGTTGTGCATTTACTGTTCTACAATCTGTGATGTACCACCACAATTCAACAGTTAGTCTGTTAGCCAGATAAATATACAGTCACTGACACTGAATATTCACAGTTTAGTTAAGGAAAGAACATATTATAAATGAATTCAGGGTATATACAAGAATTAAGGAACAATCAACCTACAAATATGAGTACCAAAAATTATTTTAATGAATGTATGCATGAATGAGTAAACACATGAATGTTTGAATATGCATTAGAAATGGAAGAGGTCAACCTAGAAACAATTGTCTTCTATCGTAGAGTAAAATGAAGATAAAGGTAAAAAAGATTTTCTGTGATTGAAGGAATTCTCTATTATGTCAGGAAAAGAAAAGAAGTTGTTGCTAAGAGTAAATAAGAGATGCTGGAATGAGATCAAATGAGAAAAAAATCCTAGTGATTTAGTAATAGGAAAACATTGAACTGCCTTTATTATTAAATAGAAAGTAAATAAAATATCACTTCATAATAAGTCATTTTGTGCTTTCCACAGATGAAAACAAACAATTCATTATATATATTTCTCAAATCTTGATTGGAATGGGATCTGCTGTTGTTCTTCTTTGTCTGTTGGGTTATTTGTCAATTCACATCAAAATTGTATGGCTCCTAATCCTGGTATGTATTTTACTTCAATAGCCCAATTTCATGTTGTATATATTGAGTATCCAAGTTACTCATATGAGCAATTGTGATTTATGTTGCTATAGTATTTCAGTAGAGCATGACCTTGGGGGTAATCTGAATGACATTCCATGCCCAAGAAACTTCCAGGTAGGTTGTTTTTTCCCCCATGGATCAGGTACCTTCATAGTTGCACTCTTAAATGTTTAATTTTCAATATACAGTCAACACCAACCCATTTCCTGGATGAAGTACAATTAACCAAACTTAGGAATCTGAAGACTAAAATCATAATAAAGTATATAAGAGTCAATGAGCAAAGTAAAGAAGGAGTAGGAGGGGGAAGAGTAGTACCAATAAAAAGGAAAGGAGGTACGGATGGAGGAGGGAGAGAAAGAGGAGGAGGGGAAACATGTCCTCTAGTCATTATATTTTTGCCTGTCAGTGTGCCATATGGAAAACTACCTTATAATTTAAATCCTACTCTATTATTTAACGAAGAGAAATTAACTGCTGAGAGCGACAGACTCATGGCAGTTGTCTAGCCTCTAATCTCTCTCTCTCTTAGCACCTAACATGGAAAGATGAAGGATCATCAGTAGTGTACACCTGAACATGAGCCATTCACCACACATGTGGCAGGTGGCAGGTGGCAATTTACTTAGATGAAATACAGCTTTTAAACTTTCCTTTGAATCAAATTTGAATTTGTAACCACTCTCCTATCAAGCAGATAAAGGATTCTGTTGCAGCCCTTCTTTCCCATTTCCAGGAAGAATGTAGAGGTACCTTACTTTTATGTACCACTGAGGTCTGGTTGGTTACTCTGGACACTAGTTACCAGTCTGCACTGGTTATCACAAAAGCAAGTCTCATGGTGCCTTCAGATGTACTCCTTCTGCTGTTGGAATGGCCTGGAATGATAGCAACAGGGGGCTACTCATCTAGCATATTTCAGTGCAGGCATACCAGTGAAACCCTTTTGTGAAGGATAGCAAATAGCCATTAGGTTCCTTCCCAGCAGGATCCCACCCCTATGGGAGTCACACCTCCTCAATGACAAGGCAATTAATGGAATCACACCTGACATAAGGACTAGTTATTACTTATATTTAGTAATTGCAACTTAGAGTTTTTAGACTTTTACCCTGGTCATGAATGTTTTAGTCAAGGCTGGAAATTACAGTGTCATTTCCCTGTAGTATCTTGCCAGGAAGATGCCAAGAAGCTGTGTGCCTATTGTTCTGGGAACCAAAATTTCCAGGATCTGTTTCAGAATCTTCTTAATCTAAAAAGTGACTCCTTTCTCTTCTTATTCTCCTCCAAAGCCCAGTCTTCTTCTCAAATCTTATCTTTCTTTCCGGGATATTTAGCCTAATTTTCTGATTGGCCTTCAGATTTGGAATAGGGAAACCAGGACAGAAATGACTTGAAAGGAAAATCTTGATTTCTTTTTTCCTTTCCACAAATTACCAGTTAAGCAAGAGAAGCACACAGCCTGCTACTAGTATAATGTTGGGGATTAGGGATGATAACTAAAGGAGGAAAGTAGAATGAGAAAAAACATAAACACCCGATGTGATTTATGTATTAAAGCATCCAAATGATAAAAGTTTTCATAGATTCCCTCATAAAGATGCATGTGTATATAAGATCTGAGAGGTTAAGCCCTGGAGCAAAGATACTACTGTCCCTTCTAGACACTCCATGGAAGGATACTGCTACTTATTATCATCATGACCCTTGCTAATTCTTCTCTGAATATACCAATATTTTTTCTTATGAACACATTCCTTTGAACCATTTTAATGTGCACAGTCAACTGATAAATTGTATAGGCCTAAAGGCTATTCCACAACTTAAAGGGATTTTGTTTACACCTGCTATAATTCAAGACACTAATATAATATAATCTAGTAATCTGCTCTAATCTAGCCATTTCTTAATTATTATGTACACTTTTTATTGCCTCTACCAATCTCTTTTTATCTTAATGATTATCAAGTGAGATAGTATATGTAGAATTGTAAATTTAAACTTCTCAATACATGGCAAGAAATAGTTTTATCTCTGAAATTCTGTCTCAGAAAATAAAAAATATTTATGCCAAATAGAAAATAAGGACTTGGCTACCATTATCGACCCAATTATAGATTGTATGGGTGGGCTAGAGGAACTGTCTTTAACTTTGCCTAAGAAGTTGTAAATGACAAAAAAATGTAGGTGCATATGAGGTAGTACTGAGTTTTAAAAATCCAGATCCATATCCCTTCTTCCTATCCTCCTCCAGTCAACCTTGACTACCGTTACTGACCCAATTATAGTAATGTAGATTATACATACACACACACACACACACACAGAGTACATTTAGACTTGTACTTAATTGACTAGTTTAAAGTATCAAATGTTTAAACTCTGTGAAATTAATAATATGAACAGTAAGTAATTACTACTTATATTCTACCTTTTAAATATTTAGACTGCTGAATTGTAAATTATTATAAACTCTAGATTATATGTACCAATACATTCAACTCTGGTGATAAAGACTGAAGTAGCTATAGGTTTTAAGAAAGAAAACAGTCTAATTCATGTGAAAATCGTTTTATTTGAAGCTTTAATTTTTCAAAGAACTAGTTCAAGAACCCATGCAGAATTAAGTTTATTATTGCAGCTACTGTTGGTGTACTTTTTACTTCATACATGGTAGAATAGTTTGCAAATTAGATCACAAGTTTAGCAGAATGATCCAATAAGTGGAATGCCATATTTTTGAATTCCCCTTTGGAACAACTTTATTTCTGAATTAAGAGGATATCATCAACATCTCCACTAGACCAAGTAGCCTGTTTGGGTTTCCATGGAATATGATCACTTCTTTCTAGAATATTCTTATCCAGACATTAATTGATTTTTTTATTGAGTTCTTATTTCGATAATTATGCCAATATTTATGAAGACAGTAAAATTTAGGGATACCTATGTATATTTTAGGCTGTATATTTCATATGATGTGTATTTTCTCATTATTATAGCATCTAAAATATAAATTAAAAACTAAACATCATCTCTGTTTTTCTTGTGTTTTAGTATGCAGTAGTGTTGTCATTGGCCTTTGGTGTCCAAGTTGTATTTTCAGCACTCATCTTCACAAAGAAAGAGGAGGTATAGAAAATGAACCCTTATCAATACTCTTTTATTTGAAATATAAAGAAAATTGGGTACCTTCCATTAGTGAGATCTTTGAGCCTAAATTAAAAGCCAAGAAAAGAAAACTTCTTTGGGGGCAAAATATTTAGTAGAAGGACTCAAATTCTATATAGGAAGGGGGAGGGGTCAGATTGTATGGGTGGGCTAGAGGAACTTGTCTTTAACTTTGCCTAAGAAGTTGTAAATGACAAAAAAAAATGCATATGAGGTAGTACTGAGTTTTAGGAATCCAGATCCATATCCCTACTTCCCATCCTCCTCTAGTCAACCTTGACTACCATTACTGACCCAATTATAGTAATGTAGGTTATACACACACACACACACACACACACACACACACACACACACTGAGTACATTTATACTTGTACTTATTTGAAATGCAGTGATTTTTTTAAACAAGATGAACTGAAAATTCATATATCTTGCATGGATAAGATCCTAATGATATAATTGAGTTAATTATAATGAGATTTGTATTTATCAAATTAAGTTTAAAATTCATATAATAAATTATCCATAAAAACTTTATGATAAGAAAATGTATGACTGCCCACAATTACTTTTAATAATGTAAGAAATTTTAGTGTTCCAGTGCAGCTCAGATCTGTTCTTGAAGCTTGCTAGATTATCCTGTAATCTGTATCCTGTAATGAAGAAAAGAGCAGTTTTAAAGATCTGAGTATGATTACAGATCAACAAGCTACTCACCTTGTAATTATTAACTAACAAGTTAATAAAGCAGATACTCAAAAGTTCTCTTTCTTTCTCTTCCTTAATCTTGAAGGAGGCCCTAATTAATTTTTGTGGTTTTTAGGATCTCCCCAGGGTAACTGCCACAGTCCAACAAAACTGTTCCTGTTTCTGTATAACACCATTGTCTGTCATCTTGGTGTCTCATTACCCAAAGCCTGTTATTAATGGCCTGGCACTTATAGCTTAAATTTCTTGTTTCTCATCCAAAAAGTAATGTATGTGTAAACAGTGTATGTACATGTGTGCCTGTATGCATGTGTTTATGGGGTGGGGTATGTATCAGCCATATAAGTTTGTGTTTAGAAAGTTGTTTTGGTGGCAAGACACCAGATTCCACCCAGCACAACAGCCTCATATAACCTGATCATATAACCTCAACATAACATATAAGGATTCTGATTACATAAATATAATTTATCAGAATCATACTTACTTCAATATTATTCACATACTCACCTCTACATATAATAAAAAGAATAACTACTAATTACTATTATGCCAAAGACTGTTATAAGTACTCCATGGACATGATATTAAACTTCCTCCCAACAACAACTAGATATGCAGTGTTACTCTCACTTTATAGAAGAGGACACTGAGAGGTTGAGATGAAAAATAATCATTAATGTATTTCATGACCAAATAACAGGACCTGGACTGGAGCACTTATTAACCAACCCCAGAGCTAGCAACATTGTTGATATCAACTTGACTTTTGTATTCAAAAAGTCTTATGAACTTCTAAGTTTTTATGCCATTTGTAGTATTAACTCAGCCTTGAAGATGTAGTAGAACTTTATCAGATGCTTATTAAATTGAGTATATATAAGGTATTCTATTTACATAATAGTCACATCAATTATATGTGAAATCATTCATATACATTATGAATATCCCAAATAATGTTTTAGAGGCTGAATTAAGCAATACGTCCCTTTCCTCTCATCCCCAGCAACATAAAATGGAAATAAAAACTGTTCTAAATAAAAACTTAACATGAAGAATAAAATAGACTTAAACTTCCCACTTTATATTATTATAACTTCTCTGCCTTAAAGCATAGGTATATAAGTAACTGAATAAAGTTTAACTTGTATACATTTTAAAATTATTTTAATATTACCACAAGTTATTTAGTTTTCATTTTTCAAAGACAGTTAATGCAATTAAAAAATCATTAGACTAGTACTGAAATGAACAATATTAAAAGTGTCAATTCCTTTTAAAAGTGTTTCCTGCCTTTTGATATAATTGAAGGCCAAATTAGAAGTTGGCTATGAAAATCATAATTTTTAAAATGCTTATATATGTTACTATTATCTAGATTTTTAAAGAATGATTTTACCCTATTCAGATCTGATCATTTTTTTGTGTTAGTATTATAGTGGAGAAAAAGTAAATATCTTTTCCTCACCCATTGCAAATTCATGGCTTAGACCCCTGTAATAAAAGAAAGTCTAACAAGAGAAAAGCATAACAAATTTACTGAACCAATGCTTATGGGACATGAGAATCTTCTGAAATAAAGAGCCAAAAACACAGGGAAAACTATATATTTTTTTTAACAGTCATGCAGAAGTGTGATTAGAGGACAAAAGGGTATTATCTAATGGTAATAACTGTGGGAAACTTAATAAGGCCTCTTTGTTCAGAGTCATCTTGGACTCTGGGTATAGACCAGGACCCCCTTGGAATGAGAGTCTTATGACCTTCTCTCAGTCAAACTAGGTCAGAAATTTTTTTTATAACTTGCTTGAGGAGAGGAAGTGGGAGAAGGTCAGAGAGTGACCTTTCTGCTTTTGCAGTTCTCTGGATTTCTTTAACTTAAAATATTCAGTATGCCAGTATGCCATACTTTGGAGTATTATGTTCTGAGCCCTTAAAGTATTATAATGGAACATATTTAAAATAGAAAAATCATAATTCTTATAAACACATTTAGTAGGTACGTCAATGATTTTTTTTAACATTTCCATTAATAATGAAAGCAATAAAATACAAAAATCAAATCAAAGGAGATGTTTTTATTGGTCATCACTTAAGAGATACAAAACAGGCTTGGAGAGGGGAAAATTTACTGGTATTTTCTCCCTCCAAAAATCATTTTTGTTTACCTGACCAATAATAATTTTTATAACTATAGTTTTATACAACTTACAAAGTTGTACAAGTTAAATTATAAGCCATGAATGGACAGACAGCCATCAAATTAATGAATCCTAAAGTTTGCTTGGAGAAGCCTAGTTTCCATTGAAAAGACCTTCAGTGATCATTTTTAGGTCTTTTCTAAGTCTTCCACAATTATTCCTGAAAAGAAATGTATAAGAAGAAATGTGGAACCCCTTGACATTCTGGAGATTAGCACATTCATTTCTCCTAATAATGAAGTAAGTTTAATATATTCTTCCTATAGATCAAGAAGTGAAAGATCAAATGCTTTGACAATAAAATTTCTAAAAGGAGTTTTATGGAAAAAAATCACTGAAAAAAAGGTCCTCTTATTTCTGACATTGAAGACTGTTTTGAGGGGAACCGTTAGGAAAAGTTTCTATGAAATTTTTGCTTTTTAATGTGATTTTTCAACAGGTTCAACAACTATGGCATGACAAAATGGATTTAGTCATTTCTGAGTATGGATCTAAAGATAAGCCTGAAGACATACCCAAGTGGACTATTCTGAATGCCTTACAGAAAACAGTAAGATGAAATTAGTACAAAACTAATAATTGGGTATCAAAGGTGATCACTGAAGTTGGAAGAGAGAAAAGGTGGGAGCAAGGGGTGGGTAGAGGAAGAAGAGCTTGTTGAATTTCATCCAAGCAAGAGAGTGAAGTGGCATTATCCTCATCATCTTGAGTTTATCCCTCTTTTGTAACTGTTTTTTTTCTTTATTGATATTGAAAGTGCACTCAAACCTGTTTTCACCTGGAAAGTGTATACATAGAAGATATGGAAAGTTTTCACTTGGGGATATAATGAGCAACTATAATGAACAAAACAGGATAGGGATGTGGCTCAGTGATTAAGCACCTCCTGGATTCAATCATTGGTACCAAAAAGAAAAGAAAAAGAAAATAGCAAACATTTACATAGTGCCAGATCTTTTAATAAAAGCTTTGCATATATTATTGCATTTAATCCTCCCAACCCAATGAAATAGGAAATATTATCCTGATTTTATACACGAAGAATAAAAAAAATTGGGAACTACCAGAATTACACAGCTAAGATGTGACAGAGTCAAGATTAAAACCAAAGACTCTAGCACTAGATTTTGTATTCTTTACTGCTACACTCTTTGCCTTACATAAAAACAGTTATTACTTTTAGTACATTTAATATCAAGTGCATTTTAACTCAATTGAAATTAATTATAAATGCTTTTACTTATTTTTCTCTGATGTATAAGATCTGCACCTGTGCTGATTTTTCAGGTTGCAGTAAAACTTATGATAAGTAGGAAAACCATTCTGTGTTAAGACATCACTGTTAATAAGGAGATTTCAGTTTGTAGTTCCTAGCGACAGGTATAATTGAGATATATATGTGTTTATTTTGATTAATATTTAGTAACCTAACTTTGAAGCATTAATTTAAGTCATGAAACTTTCCTAATTGTGCAAAGATTAGGAAACACATTTAGAAAACAATAAAATACTCAGCTTTTTTTGTTATTTCCTGTGTGACAAAAATTTAAATGGATTCTTTCCGATCCATCCAATTCAACCAGGTTTCCAGAATTGACACTGGAAACGAGACATTTCTTAGAAGTTTGAGCATTTCTATGACTATTTTTATTATCCTATTTTTTATTCTTTGTGGAAATTTTTCACACAGTATCAAATTGGAAGTCAATATCTCACATTAATCCTAAAAAAGTAAAAATACCCACTCTTTTTAAATAGTCCAAACAAGTGTGACAGCAGATTTTAAATTAATATAGAGAGAAGTTCTACAGTTATGAGCAAGATATGGCTCAAGTAATTTCCTGCAGTATAGTACATTGTGAAATGTCATTTGTGTATATATTTATCCAGTAAGTCTTCAATCTGGGAGTCCTATAATATAAAATAGACATATAATGTTATCTACCCATGCCTGCTTATATGAATCTTGAGCTCTGGCTGACAAAAACAGTATCAACACCAAACAAATTAATCAACAAAATATACTTATTTAAAAAATAAATAAATAAACTTAGTTAATTCATTACATTGCAGTGGGGAGATATATTACCTTCAAAAACACTTTAATATGCATGGAAATCATATAATTAACTGCATTTTGAATAGTTTATGCTAAAATTCATAGAGCCTTTTTTCTAGTTACAGTGTTGTGGTCAACACAATTACACAGATTGGATAAAGAATAAAAATAAAGAAACTTCAGACCAGGTTCCGTGTTCTTGCACAAATTCTACATTAAGAAAATGGTTTTGTGATGAGCCACTGAATGCAACTTATCTGGAGGTAAAAATAAGTCAAAGTTTGTCCAAGGGTGGAAAGTGTGTCTGTTGTTTGTTTTGGAAGTTCATTTAGATTTCTGAGCAAATTTTTTATATAAATACCATGTTATTCATGGTGGCTACATTCTTAAATCACATTATGAAACTGAACTTATAATTAGGTTAGTTGTAGTATTGTTTCAGGCATATAATAAATAAATAAACTGTAAGTGATTTAAGCACTCCTTTAACTTAAGATACCATTAACCTTTCTCTTAAACAAGGCTGCAAAACCCTGCAGAAAGAGAAGGTACTTTTGTGAGAATCCTGGTGGATAGGATTGGTAAGGAATCAACAATACCAGAATTAAAAACATATGGTTGTTAAAAAAAGAGAGAACCCTCTCTTCATCACAAAAGTAATATTAAGGACAGTGATGCAGAAAGAAAGTAAAAGCTCATCTAGAACAACTGGTATTAATGACATGGAATATTGATAAATCCAGGGATTCCTTTCCTAAGAACCACTAATATTTTGTATAGTTTATACATTGACTTTATACTTCTAACTTTAGTACTTATCTTTTCAATTACATAATTGATTCATGCATAAATCAAGAATTAAATCTTTTAATAACTTCTATATTTGAGAAATAGTTATTTTCAGTGGTGGTATGTACCCTGATGAATTACAATAGTAGTCTGCAGAAAGCCAAACCCCTTTCCAAAACTTAATAAATTTCTGATTTTGATTTTGTGTCAATATATTAGCAACTTTAAAGTCAGCAAGTGAAGTGTCCTGCTAACAAATAAAGAAGCTCCCTAGACATTGGTAAATTATTAATATCTATATGTCTTTTCTTCTGCTTAACAGAGTTATTAAAGCCATTTTCATCTCCAAGTTAATCTAAGTAGTTTCTTTTCCTTAGGGTTGTGGAGGAAAAATCAGCACATGGTTTGACGCTAATGCTTTAACCTTCATTGGAATTAATTTTGGACTTTTGACTTCAGAGGTGAGCTTTTGTTTATATGTTTATGGATAAAAATATTAAATATAGACTATGCATAATAGACTGCAAAACAACTTGGTGGAAAAATAGGACAAAAGTTAATAAAATAGGAGCCAGGACCTTGTGACTCTTTATACCAAGAAGGATCCAGCTGGAAGCAATACCTTAGTCACTAGGTAGATAGAACCTGTTTAATTAGTGATCATCCTGGATGTAGTTATTTCATTATTTTGAGATACACATCTGTTCATTTATTTTCTCTTTTTCTGTATAAAATATGTTTATATGCATTTATATTGATATAAATATATGAATATATAAATATTATAATATAATATAAATATATATAATATAAATATTTTCATATAATATAAAATTTATATATTATAAATATCTATATTTTATTATTGGTAAGCAATATTGATAAAGGATATATAATATCTATATAATTTAAAATAAAATATATATTTAAATATATATATATATATAGTGTACAGGAAGTAAGAGAATAAATGGACAGTGGATATATCAAAATAATGAAATAACTTCATCCAGGATGATCACTTGTTAAACATATAAAATATATATGTAGTAAGAGTACCTTGTAAGGAGTTCTGCAATTTGGCAAACTTCAGAAATCTAAGTAAATAATTACCTTTACTAAGATTTACTGTTAATGTATTCATACATTCATTCATTCAGTTAATTTGTAGGAAAGTGGAGACCTAATATATATTGTTCTATACTAGATGTTGGAAATTCAATAAGAAGAAAAATAAACACATTCCAAGGCCTGCAGGGTGCCAGTTGCAGAATTGGAATTCGAAAATACCATTCTCCAGCCTCAGTTAGGATTGAAAAGAGGAAGTGCAAGCTATGAATTCAGACAAATTATGAGTGGATAGATTATTATAGTGAGGATTGCTATAGTTTTATTATAGTATTATTATACTTACCATTGGATCAACTTTGTAATACATACTTTGCCATAGTAGAATACTGATTTTGAATCTGGTTTTATGTTTATCCACAAAACTACTGACCTAACATTACATCTCCTCAACTGGTAGCAGTTTTAATCACAGAATGATAGTAAACCAAGAGTACCATTTAAAGAATCAGGGTTAATTTCATTCTTTTAAAATGTTTTTCTCTATTGTGTTCAGACTGGTGTGTTTAAGATTGAAGACGGAGATAGTATCTGTGCTTTATTTTATCTTGTATTCTTTTTACACCATTTTCATGATGCCATACTAAAATGAAGGAGTTTTGTCAGATAAACGACATAGAAAGATGATGAACAAAAACTAGATCAGCAGTTCATCAAGGCATCTATTCCAATGACAGTGTATATGATTAACTCTAATAGGTTTTCTATTAGTCCCCTATAGGTGAATTTGGTGAGAACTAGGCTACTCCAGAAGACTCACTCTGCAGAGTTTTTATTCACTGCTATGTGTAGCTTACTCTAAAACTTGATCACCAGATTTAAGCGCTTTTTTCTCTAAAAGAGGCATTTTGGTAATTATGTAGTATCAGCTTTATAAATTTACTATTCTTATAGATTAAATTCTGATTTCATTGTTTCATTTTCTCTCAGGTTTTGCAAGTCTCATTCATTGTTGCTTTCCTCAGACACAAGAATAGAATTTATGCAGAAACGTGACCTCTGCATTTCAATTTGACTAGAAGAAACCAGTTAATTTTGAATATAATCATGTCATATTATTTTACTCTATTATTGTTTGGATATGTATCCCTCAAAGGATTATAGACTATGTTAAAGACTTTGTTCACAATTGCTAGCTCTCTTGGGAGGAGATAGAACCTTTAAGAGGTGAAGCTACTAAGAGGTTTTCTGGTCACTGAAGGCATGTCCTTGAAGTAGATATTGGAATCTCAGCCTCTTCATATGGCATTCTTTCATGTCTCAGACACAAAATGAACTTTACTACACCACGTGGTCCCCACCAAAGGCTAAAAAATAATGGGACTAATTGGTTATGGACTAAAATCTTTGAAACCATGAGCTGAAATGGAATTTTTCTTATATTTTCTCAGGTATATGTCATGGTAACAAAAAGCTATATTATATGTAATATGGAATTATTGAAAATTATAATAAAAATTAATGAAATTTAAAAAATTTCCACAAAATGATATTTTTGATAAATTTGTCATAAAAAATTGGATAAATTTTTCTATTTAGCACTTTATCTTATGTAGTGAAGTTTCACCATATAATTTATATTTTTTTATGTAGAAAATATACCTGTATGGTGTTTGGAAAATGATAAATAAGTATTTGTAACACGTAAGCATTTGCAAATCTTAAGAAAAAAACACTGATTTATACAAGAATGTAAAGAAAAATTGAAAATCCTAATTAAATCTTTATTTTGAATTAATCATTTATTTTCCTTTTCTGATAATGCTTACAACTAGATTATAAACTTAACATTAGAGATATGATGGTAATAATATAATATTAAAATAACTGAATTTTAAAATTCAAACTAAAATTATTTTTAACTAATACATAGAAACATAAAAATTGTACATATTAATGCAAAGCTAATGATTGATAGCAATGGAAATAATGAATTGTTAATTATAGCAAAAACAATATATTCTAAATGATCACTGAAATTTCATGTCCTTCGTTGCCTCCTCCTTTCTTCCCTTTCTTCCTAATTTTTTCAATGTATGTGTACATGGTTTTCTGAAGGATAAAAATAACCAGTTTGTCCTATTTTCCTAATAATATATGAGAAGAAATATATGAGTTCCTTGAAAACTAAAAAGTTCTTTACAGATATGACATACTACCATTGTTGTCTTTAAGGGTAAAAGGCTATCTTGACCTTGAAAAGATAGATTGATTGATGTTCCAACTCATATAGATGGTCATTTTCATTTGCTAATTCAATTAAATCTTCTTTCATCCATCTATTCAAGACATTGCAGATTTTCAGATACTATGGCCTTCTCGAGATTAGCACAAAATAAATAGAATAATCATTTGCTCTAGAGTAATCTCATTCAGATTTAAGAATGTTCAATGACATACTCTATTCTTTGGGGATTTTTTTTAGGATTTCAAGCTCATTTCAGATTCCTACTTTCTTTAAATTATGCCACACATACACACACACACACACACAAAAAAAAAACAACTTTACTCCCCTTGTTATGTGTCATTGTATAGGCTCTCTTATTTTTCTTCTTTACTCCTTGTTTAAATGTTTGGAGTTCCCTACTAGATTGGAGAGAACAATGATATAATTCCAGTAAATCTATAAATAATTATCAAAATGGTGGGTTTTAATAAATTCTGGAAGAGCAGATAATAAATTCTGAGAGAGCAGAAGCTATTCCCTGACAAATTTAATTATAGAAAATAAGCTTTCCATAGTATTGAGAGTATTTGTAACAAAATAAAAGGAAATATTTTCACATAAGAGCATTTAAATGTATAAATAAATATGTAATAGTTGTTGAAATATATTGAAACATTACTAATTGCATTCAAGTAAAGTAGATATCCCAAGTGTCTGAGACTATTTAGGAAACAAATCATGCAAAATTTCTGACTTCCTTAATATTTATTACAATTGTGTATTTTATTTTGGGAAAAATTGCAAAAGATACTAGATAGCAGAATATATATATAAGAATCTCTACAGATTTTTTTAAGAAAGTGCAAATGTGTTTAATACATTTATAAATGTATATATACATGAAACATTTAAATTGTCGTATATATTAAAATTAGGTAAAAAGACGTACGCAAAACAAAAATCAGTCATTTCATGATGAATTTTCTAGAATATACACACATTAACATATTGGTAAATCAAAATTCATGGCTGATATTTCAGTATGTCATTTACAATTTATTCATTTATATTGTTTTATTTCACTTAATAGGAAATGCTATTTTTTTTCTGTTTTGAAAGTTATAATTAATGTTGAAACCTTCAAGAACAAAATGTATTAGGACATTTAAACAACAGAATTAGACTTTGCGTATTAGAGTAGACAGTTTTCATATTCTATTAAATATATCATTATTTATTGTGTCTAAATACTAGTAAGTGAAAAATGGCTAACATGGCATGGACCATGTATTAAACCAATCAGGACATATCAGAATTCTCCGTGTTAAAAAAAAATACAAAATCTACAAAAGCTAGAATGATTCTACAAGAAAATTTGAAATACATTATCAATAATCTCAAATGAAGTAAGAACAAATCAGTCACAAGATTGGGAAAGTTATTTTCCAAGTCTATTGAGTATAAGGACACAGAAATTTAGTGTTTACTTTTGTTTCTACTGATGTATGATTTTCAGGCAAAAAAATTTTAAAATTCATTCTTCCTGACATTATTGGATAGCTGCAACTGTGCATTTAATTAGTTATATTTACAATTCACAAGAAACAAATTATACTACATCTCATCATAACATATTATGCATTTATACTATGTATTTGTAAAGCCTTTTGTGTATGCATTTCTTTTCTTTCTTCTTTTTTTTTTTCTTTTTTGGTACCAAGGAATGAACCCAGGGGCCTTTACCACAGAGTCACATCCATAACAGGGTCTTGCTAAGTTGCTTAGGACCTTGCTAAATTGCTGAAGCTGACTTTGAACTTGCAATCCTCCTGCCTCAGGTTCCCCAGCTTCTGGGATTACAGAAGCTATCTGTTCATTTTCAATAGAAACATTACCATAGTCACTTTCCCAGCTCAAGAATTTGATCCTTCAGTTTTAGTATATTTCAAAGCCAATGTGTCCCTTTCTATAATATCTCGGATTTCAATATACCAGATTGGATTTGACATCAGAAAATTTAAGTGTTTCAAAACATTAAAACATGTATTTTCTCCACATTAAATCTTTTATCTCCAATACCGCCAGATATGGCTGTGTGAACTATTCCTTTCTTGAGGCTTATAAGGAAGTTTCATGTGTGACATGAGTCTCAGGATGACAAAGAGAGTCTATTCTGAACATCCAAGTCTCAAGCCCTCTACCAACCACAACACAATAAATTCTTGGGGTATGGGATAGACTAAGGTTTCTCTGACTTATTTTAGCCACCCTCTTAGCAAGACTAGAAAGAATGTTTTGTTGTAAGCCTTAGAAGGTGAAAAGACTTGCAGATACTTGCTCTCAGCCTTGAGGCCTCAACCAGTCTATACTTAGACCAATTCTGGGCCATGTGATTTGATGCTAAGCTTATTTCCCAAGCATACATCAAATGCATTTATTAAAGTGAACATGGATGTCTCTTTCACTTAGGCTCTTATGCTCAGAATAAAAGGCAATATTATTTACTTGACAAAGAACATATTTTTCTGGAAATTCTGTGTAGAAAAGAGTTAATGTAACAGGCCTGAGGTTTTCTAACCTTAGAAAGCCCTGCTCCTTAGGTTGATCCCTAGCCAACACGAAGGATATTGGCAAGTAAAAAGTAGAAAGTTTTCCTTAAAGGGTAAGAGTAGCTAACTTTTTCCTAACCTGTTTACATAAGCAATATAATTTATTCTGAGCACCTGCTTTCTAGTATTGGGGTACATGCTGGGTGGAAGGTGCCTGTGTGACCATTCCCCAATAAAAAATTTGCATGCTGAGCCTTTTCCAGTAGAAAACACTTCATATGCCTTGGTACAACTCACTTCTGGAGGAAGTAGATGTATCTTAGGTAAGTCCATTGGCAGAGGACTGTCAAATCTGGCACCTGGTTTCCTCTGGTCTTTGTTCCATTAACCTTTTTTCTTTGCTGACTCTGTTTTGTGTTATTTTACTATAATTGGTCTTAGCCATAAATTAAGCTATATCCTGAGTCCTGAGTTCTTTTAATGAGTCACTGAACCTGGTTAATTTTGGAGACCCTAAAACATTCCCCATAAAAGGAAAATTCTGTTTTAATAAAGGGTTGAGATCATTTGAGATTCATGATGATGTTTTCAATATACAGAAAACCTACCCCAAAATATTTGCTTTGTATACTTATTTTCCTAATGTCATTAATAGATTATAACCATTCTAATTTGCCACTCCTCTTCCATTCCAACATCAAATTAGTCACTAAATCAATCTGAGCACACTCAATTTTCAAAAGACGTCTTCTACTCTTCTCCATGTATTTGCTCATTCTGTTCCCATTGTCTTTTTTTTCTCCAACTCTCCAATTTGCAGAATCCCATAAAAGCCACTGAGAGACAGGAAAGTGAAGTGGTGCTGTGGTTTGAACATTTGTCTCATACTTTAAAAATTTAGTCCCCCAAATTATATCTTAATGGTATTTGGGATTGGGAATCTTTGGGATGTGATTGGATCATGAAGGCTCTAACTTCATGAATGGATCAATCCATCTGTGGATTAATGGATTAATGAGTTATAGAGGGAGTAGTTCTGTTTTGTGAGCTCTTTTGGGCACACTTTCTCTTACCACATAAAGTTATATGTCATCTTAGAACTCTACAGAGTCCTCATCAGCAAGAAAAATCTTCTATATGAGGCCCCTTGGACTTCCCAGTCTCCAGAATTACATATGTGGTTCTTTTCTCTGTATATTACCCAGTTTCAGGCATTTTGTTACAGCAACATAAAACAGACTAAAACAATGGTAAATACATAGTTTGGGGATCAGATGGTATGGGTTCAACTCACACTACTTATTAGCTATACAATGTTAAGAAGTTATTTCACAGGTCTATAGTTTCCTTGTTTGAAAGATACATATAATTAAAAAGTCACCCTATGTTGTAGGTAATACTATAGGAGAACTACATGTTTTGATATGTGTGAAGTATTCAAAACTGTTAGTGCATTGTAAATAAACATTACTTATGTATTTATAAAATAAATAAACTGGCTTTCCTGATTTTCCCCAAAAAAACATAATATGCTGCCTTTCTAATTGCTCTGAGGAATATACATTATGTGACAGTACATTGGAGATTACAGAGGAGACTGAGAGAAAGGAGCATTTTTTTTTTTAATGTCTTGAGTAGCTGCATAGAACTGGCCCTCCCATTTCCAAGAGC